AATTATAATTATATTTAAATATTTTCAAAACATTAATGCTTTATACTTGTACCTTAATATATTTATAAGTATAGTAATAAATAGCACGCAACAATAAACAAATAAAAATTTCCAAATTTTACAAATCGTTTTATACGAGCTAGAACAATTAAAAATTTCATTTTTCTCTGTTCCATACTTTCAATTGTAGTAATATTTAAATATATTTTCAATTAATTTCGTTTAGCTATAAATACATATCTCGACTAACTTATTAACACAGCAATCAATTGTACACAAGAATTAAAAAAATAACTGATTCAGGTTTACCTAATTTCTTTGATAAAATTCATAATTTTCGGAGCTTTCGAGTTTCGCGGGGATTAATCGAAAAGGAATATCGATGAATAACTGAAACAAAAGACAAGAATATTTAATTACCTAATTTCTCTGGTCTTCTAAACGACTCTTTATTCTAGAATTGACATAAAAAAAAAGTCTCCACAAGATGTAATCTGCAGCACGAACGTTTTCCTTACATTTCAGAAATCTATTCTAACAATAATTTCTGTCGAAGCACAATTAAAACAATATCATTAAATAAAATCGCGTATCAGTAAAATAATAATTTTCCTAAATTAGGTTAGGTTAGGTTTTTCTCCTAGGTTAACACGTTCCGTGCCACGTGTACCATCGATGGTACACGCTTGCATGTTTACTTAGTGAACTGAACAAATTGTTTACAAGAAATTTAGAACCGAAGAATCAATTTCCACCGCAAGAATGGGCGTTGATAAGTTTTTGTTACGTTGTTATGTGTACGAGAATTAATAATTGCACGTAATACATCAAGTTTTAGTAAAATATCAAAGTGTGAAGATTCGAGTAAAAAAAGCTCGGCACGGAACGTGTTAACCAGATTTTTGACTCCTCGTTAGAATGTTCGACAAGCCACACGCGATGCCGTAAGTAAAGATTTGAGCAGCTGGTCCCGCTCGGGTCTTATGGCGGCCATTAATCACAGGCCAAGAAAACGAGGGCGGTGAGAGGGGGAGAGCAGGATAGTTTCCGAATCCGCTTAATGAAACGACGCTGCGTGAACTCGTAAACAGTGTTTCGAGAAAACTTTAATTAATGAAATTTAAGGGTCGACCCGCATTGTTCGACCGTGTCGGGTCAGACGAAAATGCCGACCGACCGAAAACTTGGATTTTCTGCCGGGGTTTGAAGGATGGAGAACGATTAATTTGCGGGCGGCGTAAATCGCGGCTTCATTTTTCGGTGGAAAAAATCGCGCGAGATAAATCCGAGCAATTCCGTCGCCGGAGAATTTTTCACACCGTAACAGATTTTAATTTTCGCCTGTCGCGGAAGATTTCGATCATTTCTCCCGACATTCTCCGACGGTGAATTTGATTTTGAAAGAAACTTTCGGCATATGTTAACATTTGCGGCCTTGATCAACGATACCTAACAAAACAGAATTTCATGTAGAACCACGAATGTAATTCCGTGTATGCGACGAGGGTGAAAAATCGATACCGACACCGTGCATCCGTAAGCGATCGAATCGTACAATTTACATGTTGATTTCCAGGCATACTAATTGAGGAGCGTGCGGGTTTGCGGAATTCCCGGCCCGCTACGGCCTGAAGCTCTGGAAATTAATTTCTAATTAACTCTGATCGAGGACCGCGCAAATAGAAATGTTCCTAGTCGGTCGTTGACCACATGACGCTGCTGATAAACTCGTCACGAAACGCGTGACACGAACCGTGCTCCGAAATCCGCCTTAACAGTACAACACGAATAAAAGATTTCTTTACCATCTCATCGTATTTCGCAGGAAAAACTGATAAAAATATCCGAAAGATCTGTTCCTCAGAAACGAACGGTTCTCCGAGAAATGGCGGATAAAGTTTCGCCCAATCGGTGAACGCGGTGCATCCTCCACCGCGCGACCCGTAGCCAACGGCGCGCGAGGATCGCGGCGTAGGCGTGGCGTAGAATTAAATCAGCGTTTTGCAGGAGAACGGTTCGTCCTAGAGAATTGGTTCTTCGGGCAAGTTTGACCGTCTCGACGAGCTCTACACGATCACGTTCCAGTTTCCGCTCTATCTCTCGACAAATGATCCACGTCAAGATCAGTTTTTCAAACTGTTGAGCCGTGGATCGATTTTTCCGGAGTTGTTCGTATTGAAATTAGCGACGTTGTGTGCCCGGAAATCGAGCTACGTGTGAAAGAAGTTTCGGCCGCGCATTGAGAATGAAGTTTCGACGGCGTATTCTAGTTCCGGCGGACAAAGAGACAATTGTCGCGAGCTCCCGAGACGGGTTTTTCCAACAGCCTCGGCGGCTCTCACGTGCCGGTCGTCGACGGAATTCCGTCGTTCCAGCGAATAGGGCGATCCTGGGGGAAGTTAAGCGAAGTTAACTGATTTTTCCGTGCTCAAGGGGGGCTTCGGGCTGTAAAAGAACAGCGATCCGCTCGATCCGTCGCCGTGCCAGCCCGTTATTTGCTTTGTACTCGGCTCCTTTCTTTCCACGCGACTCGCGAAAATAGAAACTCGATGGGACTCGATCGAACGGTGTCCATTGTAAAGCGTTGCAGAATGCGCGAACAAATTGCTCGTTCGAATAGAAAACATTGCTCTCGTTTGTGTAAACGTTTCGCAGCGGGTTGCGCGTTTTTGTGCTAAACAAATTCGCAGTAAATTTCTTTACCTTTCTATTCGTTCATTTATTTATTTATCTGTCCATTTTTCAACGTTCTCGAGGGAAGTTATTCTACAACAATAACGTTTTTGTATTATATTTCGACGATAATTTCCAAAGGAGACAGAGAGAGAAAGAGAGAGGGAGAGAGAGAGAGAGAAACGGTGCGCGGATTTAGCATCGTTCCGCGGAACGTAAAATCGATGAATAAGCTTGCAAAGGCGCGGAGATCGGCGAAACGAAAAAGTTATTTTGCAACGTTTAATGACGTCTGGGCAACTCAATCGCGGGGAAGTTGGCACGCGGAATAGGCCATTAAAGTTCCTGAATGCGGCTTGTTACGATTACGGTTACAGGCACAAAGACACGGAACACGCAAATTGTTGCAACTAATCCGGGCTTGACGAAGGCTTGATGAACGGCTGAGCAACTTTGCGAACGACCGTTGCGAATTCGCACGCGGAAGGAACGAGAACTGCCGACGAATCCGGCTGCTGCGGAATACTTAGTTGCAGACACGGGAAACGCTTTCGCACACGCTATTTAATTTCCCCCCTCCCCGCCGTTTCTGCTTATCTTTCCTACTCAGGAAAGTTCCGAATTTTTTCCAGCGAACTTGTTAATATTTGCTTCAGCCGGTATAAAGTAGCAATCTAAATGCTTTACCGGCACCCTTTGGAGAAGAAACTTAGCTCTCAGCCTTTTAACCCCTTGAGACGTTCGATTTTAAGTGACAGAAAAATCCACACTGCACAGAATATACCGTTTACGACTTTAATCGCAAACAGTGTCAACAAGTTACCGATGTAAACGTACCGTTATCTGTGTAAATATTTGTTTTCGCTAATTTATGCGTTCATCACTGCTTCATAGCACCGCCAATTAATTATTTGAACTGTATAACTGTGAGTAACCTCAACTTTTGCTAGCGAATTAAAATATATCCCAGCATGCATTTCTTTATTCTTGCATTCGGGTAACTTTTAATGTTAAACTGCTTCAAAGAGATTGTTATTTAAGAGAAGAATTATTTGAATATTGTATTGTACGTTATCTGCGTCATTTAAACATAAACTTTTTCGCTATGATCTAAATTAAATTGATAAATAAATAATTATCGAAGTTGGTGTAAGAAAAGCTTGTTAGTAAAATTGTTAATCAACGATTTTCTCATGCAAGGTAGCAATTTTAATACCGTGCTCTAATTTTATAGTAAAAAAATATTTCTGTCAACTTTTAAAGATGGCGTCCTGCTGTAACAAAATTTAAATTTGCCACCACTTCATTATTTTTGCATTTAAATAACTTCCAATGTTCGATTATTGGAACTTCCTTATTTAAACATAAACTTGTTCACTGCGGGATTAACAAAATTGTTAAATAAATACTTAATACAGTTACTAAAATAATAATTTGTCAATAGAATTGTTAATTATCACTTTTGTTCGTCTAAAGTAGCAATCTAAATTCTTTACTTTAATTATTTAATGGAGAAACTTTTCTCACAACATTTAAAGATGGCATCCGAGTTTATTAAAATTTGAATTTGGCGCCAGATATTTGTTCCTCCGTTAAACTAATTTTCTTCATTAATATGATGCAATAAAATATTTGTTCAGGATAAAAATTGTTCAAAAATTTGGCTGTTTTGTTAACTATATCCAATAAACATATACTTGCCAACGTCAATTAAACGATTAAATGTTAATTAACATGACATTTTCCCTATTCAACAATCCCTACAGAATAAAAAATTACTGTACAATTCACCTTTCTTCACTAAGAAAAATATTTCTTCTTTCGCAACAAATAAAAAGTTATAATAATTGCAAAAATACGATTTTAAAATAGATCGTTCAAATGTGTCATCTTTTATTTTCCGAATTTTCACTTCACCCTCGATTTGTATCTTTCGCCCATGGTAATAACAAAATATATTATTGTCAGTGCTTAATTATCGAGAATTTTCGAGAATTTTTGTAATTACGTATGGGATCGAGAAGATTACTCTTTTTTAGCGGGCAAAGTTAAATGGAACGGGAGTGACTTCGGCCACGTTTTAGCATTTCCTTGATAAATCCATCTTCATTGTCGCGTTAGCGAGAACGCATAACGAAGACTGGATCTTCTCCAAGAAGTCGTTCAAAGTAACTTCGACGCCAGGGATAGTTTGTTTAACACACCATTTTGCCGTCGCCGGGCATAAAAGAAAAATGGCGGCTGCGCCCATCATCAACGGGGCCAGCAACGTCCACAGAACCTAAAAACAACGTTCTTCTTGATTACATTGTCCTGGTTTTCGGAATTAAAAGCCCGCCGCGTGGAAAGAACACTTTTGATGCCTGGAAATTGCTTCTTCAAACAACGATACCACTTAATGTGAAATTATCAACGGTGCACTACACTGCAGTGTGCTACAGTGTTGCAAAAATCGTTTAGTTTACTTTATATTTGATAAAACAATTAGCTCTTGGTTTTGTAATTTTGGAAATGCTTTGAGATTAATTGATTTAAATTATTGTATTAATATTGAGGAATTATTATGCTGAAAATGAGGAAAAAATTGAGGACAAAATTGGGAAAATATTGATGAGAAAATTACGAAAATATTGAGATGAAAATTACGAAAATATTGACGAGAAAATTACGAAAATATGGACGAGAAAATTACGGAAATATTGACGAGAAAATTACGAAAATATTGACGAGAAAATTAGGGAAATATTGAGCAGAAAAATAGAAAGATATTGACGAGAAAATAAGGAAAATATTATGCAGAAAAATAGGAAAATATCGACGAGAAAGTTAGGAAAATATTGAGAAGAAAATTTAAAAAATATTGATGAGAAATTAGGAAAAATTTGACAAATAATTAAGAAATATAGCAACACCATCTTTAACATTTGTAGTTATTTCTTCCTCAGTTATTATATTCTTATCTGAACTAATTTATTTACTGAAAAAGCTACGTTAAAATTAAAATGGAACTAGAAATGAATATTCGTAAGCAATAAATGTCAATCTACAAATAATTATGGTTGATAAATAAACAATAAGCTGCAATAAATGCGAAAATAATAGTATTTCGACGGGAAATCAATTTCCAGCTAACAAATGGCACTGCAGTGATTATATAGGTTTAGGACACAGACTAATTACATTCTCTGCTAATTAATAAATAAACAGCTGGCCGCGTAAGTGAACGATGACGTTAACGAATCCGATAAATTCCGTAGTAACGGGTTTAATATACGTACGTAAGATATCCAGGACACAATTAGCCAGCCTAATAATACGGTGCCGGCTGTATTCAAGTATGGCGCAAACTCCGGCCGCAGAATGTATTGTATGCTCGGCATTTTAGCGCCCAGATCTGTCAGCATGGACTGGAACTGTTTTAACAAAACCGTGAAACATTTCAACAGTAACGTTAGAAGATCGACTTCCAACAATTTTCATGTGAAATTATGATATATGAATTTTATTCACATCTGTATGAATTAAACGTTCAAATAAATGCACATGCTTTGTACATAAATGAAATATTCCATATGCATAAATGTTATACATTAAATCACTCGTAAGTATTTTCATAAATCAGAGTTTTCATATGTACTTTGTTACATTAAATATTTCATATATATAAATTTAATAAGTGAAATATTTCATACGTATAAATTTCGTACATTGACCATTTCATGCACACGAATTTAATCAATCAAATATTTCAAACAGATTGAATATTTCATATATGTAAACTCGGTAAAACAAATTTTTTCGTATTTTCA